CACAGCAGAAGATGCAGTGGATCGGAACAAGTGGCGACGTCTAACAAGAACAGCGGACCCTGCGACGGCGCGGGACTAACGCTAGGGAGAAGGAAGAATGGATCACTGAATCAAGAATATATGTAGTGAATGAAGAATTGTGTATACATTACTAAGGCTGCGTTTGTACCGTGCGATTACATAGGCGACGTTGACGTAACCGACATTTCCGATGTAACCGACGTTTTCGGCGACTAGCTCGGGAAAATGAAATACGTATTGATCCGAAGTAATTGACGTAACTGATGTAGCCGAAGTTAAATCTTCTGTACGCCGATCACGCGCATACGGTCGAGAAACAGTTGTGGGCCCGTTGCGGTCCATTAGCGAGGGAGTGCGATAACGTACTCATCTACGTAGTACAGTTGCCATTGCGTCGAAACGCAGCCTTACAATTCAGCAAATTGAACAGTGTCTAGTGCAGAGTATATGGAGGAGGATGAGGGCTGGTTTGATCTATATGACTGCTGCATGGCGAAATCGAGATGTAAAGAGCCAGGCGCGAAACAGCATGTCTCTGTGTCAAACTCGGATAAGCCGTTGTTGTGCCAATACAGGCACCTGTTTTTTTGTGGACAACCAGTGCACTTTTTTCTTCCGCATCTTCGAATTTTAATATTCCGACATTTGCATAAAAATACAGCATTTCGAAAAAATGTTGTGTCGTAAGTTTAATTATGAGATGCGATCTATGACGTGAAATCGATAGAGCTCGTTGTACACGGTGGAGTCTGAGCGACTGTGACCAGGGGCCGCTTTGCTCCAGAATCCATCGCGTGCAGCAAGGGCAGCATCTCTTCTTCAGAGACCCTTGCAGCTCTCGATCAGTATGCCCTCCCAACAGAGACTATGTAAGATGCACGAAAAATACGCGCGCCATGTTACAGTTGCCGAAAGCATAGGAATAAAGCACTAACCTGAGTCATCTGTTTATAACATAGGTCGTCACTTCCGCCGGATTCGCTGAACGCCACCATGCACGCGAAAGGGGCGGCTCTGATTTTATAAAGCAAAAAGTTCTGTGTGGTCGGTTGTCGGTCTGTCGATATGTATGTAATGTAATGTGTGTATGTATGTATGTATGTATGTATGTATGTATGTTTGTCCGTCCGCAAAATGCTTCACGGGATTCAACATGTAACTGAAAGGAGAAAACGACCGCTAGCCAATCTAGGAACCTTTCGGTGCAGATGTATCAATCCAATGTTTTGATTGCGATAACTCCACTATATAAGACAACCACTTACTTAGGCACCGAGCCATTGCAGGCTGCGCGAGCTGCTCGCCTGGCAGCTGGACGTGAGCGCGTGCAGTGGGAGGCGGGGAAGGGGTTCGGGGACATGGGGAAGAAGGTAAGGCGGAATGAGTTTAATGGGCTGCTCGCGTGGCAGCTGGACGTGGGTGTAGTGGGACAGGGAAGGTAAATGCAGGGGCGAGGCCGCATGGGAGAGAGGGTAGGGCAAGGGAAGTGAGGTTAATGGGGAGGGCGCTTCAACAGGAGCGCACCATGACGGTGGAAACAGAAGCATTAGTGAAAGCGATAAAAAAAGGAGAATCAACCGCTAGCAGAAATGCAGGGCAATCTATAATGTGCTAATTAAGTATAATTAATTAATCAATTTAAGTTGATATTTCGATCCGAGCCATTGCACAGACTGAACAACCATTTGGTGTATTCCGAATCATTGCACAAGCTGCTTGCGCTGGGCAGCTGGAATGAGCGCGTGGATGGATCAGGGTAGGGAAGGCACTGGGGAGGTGGGGGGTGTTGGTGGGTGTACCACTGTGAAGCGTAGAGTGCGCTTTAACATGAGCACACCGCTACTTTAGTGAAAGCGATAGGTTGAAGAAAGGAAGAACCCACCGCTAGCAGAGTCGCGAACCAATTCATATCGTGGTATCAATTCGAGGTAATGTTTTGAATGTGATATCACCCTTTACTTTCAAACGTTCAAGAACTGTCGAAATGAATAACACGGGACAAGGAAAATGTACAACTAACGTACGTAGGGCATAGGACTTGGATATTGCTGCATGTGAGGTCAGCACCTCACGAGAGTTACCGGTAAGCGACCCCACGTTCAGGGTCCCAATTCGAACTAGCTTCTTTGGCCGAGGTCGTTCACCCCTCGGTAGCCCTCGCATACTGACCACAGAACTCGGAGGGTTCTGCGCGCCACTTCCGGGTGACGTCCTAGCATTAACACTGATTCTATTGCGACTTGTCATGATTGTTGTGACGGGTTCCTCCATCAGCCGGCCTGTCAACCTGGGCCTGACGCTGGTATCGTCCCCATTTTTGCAATTTTTGCAAGGCAGGTTTGTGCCTCGGCAGGGATTGAACTCGTGGCTCAGGGTGTGAACGTGAGTCTACACTCTTTGCCACTCGGCTATCCCTGCCTCCCCTAGGTGCATGTAACAATTCAGATATCGGATTCAAATGGTCATGCTAAGTAGGCATGCTTCCCATGTAAGCAAAAGCAGTACATTCCTGGTATGGAACAAGTGAAACTTCTTCTACAATAAAGCACAACGGGAACGAACACAAGCCATGATCAGTAAAAGGTTGTCTCGCTGCTGCAATCGTAAAGACCACCATCTTTTTTCGTGGAGGATGCACTCCATACAACTGTTCTTATTATTCTAACGCTTTATAGAGCGGCTGCGTCTGCTTGACTTCTGGGTTACTCAGCTACGTCTCCAATCTCAAGCCGTTTGCAAAACGATCACGTAAGCATTAGGTGACAGGATTTGCAGCTCATACAACTTAATAGCCACGCCCATGTGAATTTTGACAATATCCACTATAAACCCATGCGTCACACATCTCCGTCCGGCCAGGTATATGAAAGCCGTGCACGGAGGAATACACGATAAGGGAGTTCGTATGTGAGTGCTGAATGGATAGAGGTCGTAAACGAGGGTCAGCCATTGGAGAATAGGGCAGCAACATCCTGCTCAAGTGATGGAAAGTAGAAAGAGACATTCGCATAATAGAAAGCCGTGATGTGTGATGTCGATGATGATGACTGTTCTTGCCGACTCTGCCGCATGAATCGAGTGGTAAGCGGTGTGCTAGGGCAGTTAGGAAAACAGCGATACAAAGCTGCACTGTTTTCTTTTCGGATGTTCGGTAATGATCCTTCTTTTGCTAAAGCCCAGGCTCGTCCTCACAATGCGATGGCTCAGCCTCACTATCTCGGGAGAAGACTGCAGATGATAAGAACCAGGCTGTCATACCCCTCCCCCTTCTATCACCTATCCTTAAGCTTCTTGGCACCCCAGTGAGATGTCATATTCAAGCTCACAAAAGGTTTAAATACTCCTGCGGACTAGTTTTCAGCGGATTTAGTGACATAGAGCACTGACGCAACGCTTGTAGAGCGGCCGCGAGGCGATTTCATGCAAAGCAGATGCGATATTTGCGTCCAGGGGCATACCGCGTTTGGAGACCAATTTCCAAGCAAATCAACGTTCTGAGCGGATCTTCGAAAACTGGAGCAGTTAAGTGTGAACAGTGCCCATATCTGCTATTTTATTTCGGCGAAAGAGTGCGCCCTACGCGCACTGAGAAGTGTATAAGCGAGGCTTCTTGCAACAAAATACAAGGAGCGCACTTTCTGGAAGGCTTGGAATTTTCCACAACAAATCCACAACGCGGTGGTTTTTTTGCACAACAGGATCTTCAAAAAAATTGTGGTGCGCATTGAAAAGAGCAAATTTACTTTCGGATCTTTTGATGTTTTTTCTGAGACTCTGAGCAGGAAGTTACGGCCGGATGAAAAATGAAAATTCAGAAAAAAACCGTAAGAAATCCTCAGTATTTTTTGAAGAAAAAGAAGTTTAAGACGAATTAAAGTCTCAGAAGATACGAAACTGGTCTCTCCCATCCTTAATTCTCCTATTAAGACTTCCAAGAAGTAATACTTGTTAAAAGAGCGTTGCGATTCCCGGTGCAAAAGGGTGTGCACGATGTTCCGAAATGCCATCATAACCTACCGTTATATTAAATACCCTAGACGTGGCCTCGCCTAGTCAATGCAGCACGATCGGAATCTATCTGTCTGGACCCTTCGGGATCCACCAGCAAGGACAGCCTACCTTGCAATAAACGTTCAACAATTACTTCCCACATACGTGCCGTACAGCTGCGGAAAAAAAAAACTTGGAACAAGCCACAAATCGCTTTTGAACAGTTCTGAAGCTCTTATTCAGCAGCAGTACAGTGGAAAGGCTAGCAGATAGCGGAAACTCAACAAAAAAAACTATTCAGCGCTCTGAATCTGGTTGCTTACTACTGGACTTGATTAAAGCCTTCATCATCCGTGGAATTGGCTCCACAGTAGCTTCAGGGGTATCCACAGATATTCTCCTCCAAAGTCCTGAAGACTGCTCACTCATGTTGGTGGTTCTCTCCCCTTTGAATCATGCTTCAAGTCATCTCAAAGATGCCTGATGGGTTGAGGTGAAGGCTTTTACTCGGTCATTTTGTCATCCGGATGCTAGCCTTGGGTGCCAGAACCTAGATTTCACATACTTCTGTGATTGCTTAGGGTTGTTTTTGCTGATTTGAAAACAGTTCTCAGGCATCTTTATTTATGTCCACAGTACCTCGGTGCGCAAGTCGGGGAAAATTAAGCGGTAACGTCACAGATAGTCCCGCGTTTTTTAGCTTGTTCCAGAGTTTTTTTTTCTGCAGCCGTATGCCGCGGCTGTGACAGTTTCCCCTGTTTCACGCGTTACTCTGCTTTGAATGAGGCTTTCGCTTTCGTTTTCTTGTCTATCAGATGGAGCCTTTGGCACAGGACTATTCTCTCCGTTTGCCTTTTCACCGTTTCAGGTATAAACAACGGAGGACAACAGTTCGTGTCGAATGGGGGTCGTACCGGAATGACCTTCCCCATCACCGCTACGGTGTGGCCTAATCACGTAAGAGTGCCATAAGCGTTTCGACAATGTCATCATTTGATTTGAAAAAAAAACGAAACGTAAACAAATGTGGCAGTTACAGCACATCCTGTCATAGAAGGCCACTTTTTTGAAGATCTTTCGGTGCCGTGGGAGAAGAAAGTGAATCGACCCTGACCTTTGCCTATGATCTCCTGACCATTTGCGTCCACTACAGGATCAATGGCTGACGTAGCACCCAGAATTGCAATAAAAAATCCTAAAACAGATACTAACGCTCTTAGAAATTCTGAGAATATCACCAGGTAGGGTCAACAGATCAGTACGTCCTTTTGCAATGAGGAGCATTCCTTTGCACGCCTCTTCGGACGGTGAATTCAAATCTACTTTCAAAGTCTGAAACGGTTCTGTGAGCGGAAATCAGGAGGTTTTTCCCCTGCGATGCTATTTTACATACAATCGCATGGAAGCGTGGAAGTGTCGCATATATGAGGAGATCATATAGCGTAGCAATACAGCGCAACCGGTAGTGAGCGTGTCCTACAGAAGGAAAGTCGTGGGATGGACCCCTTGTGACACAGTTTTGCTTTTTTCTAACGAATATGGTCGACGAAGCTTCTAGTGTTGCCGCTTGCAGTTACTTTCCTGTAAGAGCTTGCGATTAGAGAGTACATAAAGTAAATTGCCTCGTGGCCCATAAGAGAGCCTGTGCTTGTCTCTCTCGTAGCATATGTCACAAGGGTTCTCGTCGGGTTGACAAGTGTACCCCGTACCCTATTCAGCGGAGCCTTACCTCTGGAGGGGTCTACAGCAGAATCTGAAGTTTCGACTCAACTGCGAAAGAAGGGGTGTTCTATGAGTGAACAGCTACAGGCTGGATCTCACAAACCATTGATGACTGGAGTTGGGATGAAATTTCCCCCGGCAATCAGAAAAACCATGCCGATGATGCGAACACGTGAACACGTATTGTTCTCTGCGAGAAGACAAGACAGAAGAGCTAATTCAGCGCGAAGTCTGTCATCGGTGATATGCAAGACTCAGCAGCACTGGCGGCTACTCTTCAGCAGTATCGATCACCGCACTTTTTCGAAGTTTAGTCGAAATTCCGGAATTCGCTGGGTCCCAGGGGTACTTGTCCGCGAAGATCACAACCTTTATGCGCGAAAGTGGTCATGTCGCGCGCTACAGGCGCCAGCCCTCTGGCGCCGGCGCGCTTACAAGGAAAAGCAATGAGAAAAGCCCCTATAACTTCATCAGACAGCCATTTCGCGAACTTTGAAAGTAGAACTGAATTCATCGTCTCTAGAGGCGTTCAAAAGTGTGCATCTCCTCGCAAATGGCCGGGCTAACCTGTTGACCTTCTCTGGTCGGGACATACCTTGCCAAAAGGACAAGAAGATTACGCTTTTGACTGTTAGAAACTTCAGAACTGGACTGTATGGACTGAGAAGTTCACGTGTTGCAGTGTAGAAAAGAAACAGACCGTATAAAGCAAGAGATATGGATATGTTGTACACAAGCGTTATGTACAGGTACCCTTGATCCGCACTAAATTGGTTTTACAAGAACAAAACATAGAAAATGAGAAACACGAATTACGGGACCGAGAATCACTTAAAAGAAATAAAAAAGATGGAATTCCAAAAAAACGTACCTCCAGTTACCATCTTCATATTTTCCCATCGTGATAAGAAACAATGTTATCACAGCCATAATAGGCTTTATGAAACAAAATTGTAGAGTGGCCTTAACATAATTGTTGGGAATCCAATATCTTTAGGAAAAAGGAGAACAAAAACACTTGCCTGTTTGCAGAAACGCAGAAATTCAATCGTGTACTGCTTACCAGCGAGACAGCACGTGCATGTGTAATAACTTATTGGCCTGAAGAAGCCAAAAAACACATCACAAATTAATATAACCTGAGGAAACACTTATAGGATTGACAAGATAAGTTTTGCTCAACTCTACCAAGATCAAAAGGTCATTTGCACTACAACGAATTCCAGATGGTGGCTAATTGGCCTTTCATTCACCGTTCAGTCCAGCGAAAGTGAACAGAGGGGAAATGAAATGATCAAACGGGTAGCAATGATTATGTAAGTGCCAGGCTAAAAGTCTTGCGACTTTTGAACAAGATTTCAGACTGCATACTCGTTTATAAAACGAGGCCTTCAGCAACAGGGGATAGCGCGGCGAAAGCGCTGAGAAAAAGCGGTCGATTCCGCTTGACGTTGATTATATGAATGTTTCGTCTATCATTATCATACACATTCTCCCATTCACGCGATAACGCCGTTTCGCCAAGATTTCCTGTTTGTCGTTCGATGTTCGCGGCGGACGACAAATGCCAAAACATTCCGTGCAGTTTCCCCCGAACCTTCCTTTTGTCGTTTCTTTTTCTGGCATTTTTTTTACATTTTTCCTTTGGAAAAGTTCTATCCACTTTTTGGTGAACGACGACAACGACAGTGATACCGCGCTGCTACGCGTACCATCGGAACAATTATACTGTTCAGGCTGTTAGACCAGCATTAACAAGAAGATTTTGTTTCCTACCATCCTACCATATATAATCGGCTAAGTCTGTGTGTGACTGTTTGACGCAAAATTCGTAGCGCCGTTCCCACTAGCAGCGAGTTAGCTGATAAGATCTGATATAAGGCGTTAAAGGGGGAAGACCAGTGTGTTCATAACGCGTGTCTCAGCATCAGCTAGGTGCTGAGTCCAGGCTATGATATAGGGTACAGGACAGTAGCATGATCGGTAGGTGATAAGAACTGTAAGGTGCTGATAAGATTCGATGAGCGGCTTCAACAGGGCAAGGTCACCAAGCTGTTGATAAGATTCGATGAGGGGCTTCCGGAGGATAAAGAGCTAAGTCCATAGCGCGGATCACAGCAACAGTGAGGACTTGGATCTAGCAAGTGATGTGGAGGGTGAGATAGAGACATTGAACGGTGGGTGAAAAAAAGCGTAGCTGACAAGGGACTGGTTAGGGACGTTACCGTTGTCGCCGTTATTCAAGGTGCTGAAGCTTTCACTGCACCATATCATAAAGATGTAGTGATAGGTACAACATGCAGGCAACCTACAACATGCAGGCTCCCCTGACGCACATTTTGACATGAACAAAGCAAAGTGATGTTCTCTTATGTGGTCGCCCCATGGCTCCGCAGGTGTGCCTCTCTCGGAGGTAACAAGGCGCTATTACACTGCTCATTCAGCTGCTTCAACTTGAACTCATTCTTACTACTATGGTCATCAATTGAATGGTGCAGCCTTCTCACAGTCGAAAGTCAAGTATTAGCTGAAGAGACTAGATGTCCATAACTGCTGGTTAATGTGGAGCTATTTTCATTTTATTCCTCTACATTTCCGTGAAAATGCCCTGGGGCGTTCTGCGCATCCTAGCTCGCCTAAGAGAAGAGCGTCTGACGAAGCCACGTCGTGATCCAAAGGGAGCAGTGCCCGGCGACAGCTGGGCGATCCGGCTGGTTCGCTTTGCATATAATTTCTAGCAAAATGGGTAATATCACCGAGGAACAGGTGAGAAGGCGCCTGTCATATGATCCGGGGAACCACTGTGCCCGGTACCTACCGAATCCCTTCCAGTTTTACGAAGTATCTGGACCCTTTGTGTGCAGACGATCTCGTTACAGAGCCCAATCAATTTTACTGGGAATTAAAAGTTCCCAGGAAGTTTCGTTAAAGCCGAAACCATCCTTCTCCATAAATAAGGTGATCCTTTGAAATCGGCAACTACAGATCGATCTCCTTATTGTCCACATTCATCGAAGTTCTTACCCGTGCACTGGCTCATCCTCTAGAAGAAGTAGCAATGAGATTCATCCACATCGAGCAAGCTTGATTAAGGCACGGCTTCTTCACTCGCAAACACCACTCCATATGGTATTTGTTGATTACCGGAAAGCATTCGACACTATCTAATTCAATGCTATCTGGAGCGCATCAGGCCGATTTGGAGTAGATGCCTGCACCATTCGAATGATAAAGCAACTCTATCCTGCGGCCTCATTTCTGGTTCTTAATGCTACAGAGAAGGATGATCGACATACAACGAGGAGTTCGACAAGGTGATTCATTATCTCCATTGCTGTTCATTCTAACACTCCATTCCTGCCTTGATGACACTGACTGGGAAGATCAAGGATATCCCATTGGTCAACACTTCAACTACGTCGTATGCTGATGATCTTCTCCTATGCTCTCCAACTGTTGAGAGAGCATAGGAAACGATGCTCAATAAATTGAGCTGCTGAAGAGGTTGGAGTAGAAGTGAACGCAAGTAAATCCAAATGGATGTCAATAAATTTCAACGGCCAACAACTTAGAGCAGACGACAGGGAGATAGCGCTGGTTCCATCGTTCGTGTACCTCGGCCAAATCCTCTATTTTCCTCAGGAACGCGGTCAGCAGATAAACCATAGAATCAGTTCGGCTTGCAACATCAACAGAAGAGTCAGAACTCTGCTGAGAGGAAAAATGACGCCGTTGTGAACCAAACGAGGTATCTTCCATATCTGCCCGATGCCTGTGCTGCTATACGGATGCGAAGCATGGGCATTAACAATGGCGAATGAAGAGCGTCTGAGGAAAAATAAGCGCAGAATGAAGCGTCAGATGCTTGGCCTCCGACTTAGTGACAATGTATCAAACACAACGATCCGAGAAAAAAACGCAATAAGAAGACTTCGTTGTCGAAGCCAGAAAGTTAAAACGGATTTACGTGAACACGTCTATGATCAGAGATCAAAGACGATGGGATGTTCGACTAGTGAATTGGGAGCCTGGACATAGAGCAGCTGGTAGGCCACGAACACGATGGGAAGAACGATCTCAAGATGTTTCGCTGGAACGGACTGGAAGAACATCGCGACTACACCCGAATGGTTTCAGAGCATGGCCCGTTTCTCTTTATATCAGATGAGTAGCGGAAATAAAGGTTAAACGTTAACGGCGCGTGTGTTCTCGGGAATGCACAAACGGCCAAAAGAAGAGCTTTCGCGTGTTCTGTCGGGAGTACACGCCGCCTGGACCGTGCTACGAACCCGAGCAGGTGACACACAGAAGCTACTAATTGTTAGCAGTTTGCCCCCTTTTACATTTCCGTGTAGGGGGAATATCGTTTGGACGAGTGGTTTATTAGGCGTCTTTTGTTTCCAGGCTCTCAGGAAGATGACAACGCCAAAACGTCAAACGAATGCAAATTTGACAGAGTCGGTTTTAAGAAAAACAAACTCGCAATCCTGTACAGAAGGGGAGAACGCTAAGATTTATAGAAAGTTGCTGAGCTAGGGGTACTGCTCCATGATCAGGGTTGCTTCATAAGTAGAATACGAAATAATCATATTGTTGAGTTGTTTTAATCGTGAGAAGATAAGACAAACTTTGATTGTGGACTGACTCAGTGACGACTCATGGAAGGACCAGATGAGCTTCTTGCGGCCTCCTACTTGTCAGATGCGGAGCTCACCGGAAGACTAAGGTATCTACGGACATATATACGGAGGAGGATACAGTGCGCAACAAAAGTATGTGGACCCCTCAAAACTCAACCACAACATCTTTGATTTTCGCAAAATGGGACCCTTACTATTCAATTGCCACACCATAGCATACTTTACTTCGCAGCATTTTGGGTGCGACTTCTTTTACGATTTTTCATTACTGGAAGAAAGTTTCTTAGTACAGAAGATATGTGGACACTTACCAGGGAAGTCCGCCAACTTACCATGGAATTGAAGGGGACCTGGGTAGATCGATAGAGTCTATAAGGTTATTTACAAATATAGATAGCAAAACTGCAACCTGCATTTCACAAGCAACTTATGAGCAGGTAAAGTTTGTAATGGTGCAGTAGGGTGGAGGCTTGGTGGTGAGCTGTGAAGCATAAGCGAGGAATCGCATACGTCGAATCGAGTCGTGGTGGTTCAGTGGTAAGGTTCGACGTTCGACGACTCGATTCGACGTATGCGATTCCTCGCTTATGCTTCACAGCTCACCACCAAGCCTCCACCCTACTGCACCATTACAAACTTTACCTGCTCATAAGTTGCAAATGCAGGTTGCAGTTTTGCTATCTATATCATCACAGCTATAACCCACTGTATATAATACCAGTCGGCTCGCCGGCTAACGCCGGCGCCTCCTTCTGATACGGCCCGGCTGCGCCGGGCGGGCGCGGCTTCGCCGCGCGTATTTTCTTTCACATATTTCTAGACTCAACTGATATCCGCCTTTTGTTCTGTACTCCACTTTTTTCCGGTGTCTGAAGTACTCTTGAGCTATTTTACAGATTCTTCGTCTGACTCCGCCCACCTCGGAGCAGCCCCGCCCACAATGTTTGTGCCCCACAATCCTCACCGGCGACCCTCTGCTGACCTTAGTCCACTTTTTTCCGGTGTCTGGAGTGTTCTGGAACCGAGCTACAAACTTTTAAAATGAATACCCTGCGATTTAGGGCAAGCTCCGCCCACTGTGGGCGGGTCTCAACACAC